TGAGCTATTACCAGCAGGAGAGTGAGTTTGTGTGTGTATGGGGGTGGGGGGATGTGAGAGAACCTGGATCTATGCAGGAAATAGCCCGACTTGACTATGTAAAGAGTTGTCACTTTGGATGGGCTAGCACCAGCAGGAGAGTGAATTTGTGTGGGGGGGTGGAGGGTGAGAAAACCTGGGTTTGTGCTGGAAATGGCCCACCTGTTGATCACTTTAGATAAGCTATTACCAGCAGGACAGTGGGGTGGGAGGAGGTATTGTTTCATATTCTCTGTGTGTATATAAAGTCTGCTGCAGTTTCCACGGTAAACATCTGATGAAGTGAGCTGTAGCTCACGAAAGCTCATGCTCAAATAAATTGGTTAGTCTCTAAGGTGCCACAAGTACTCCTTTTCTTTTTATTAATCTGGTTGTGGAGGAATGCTGCTAGGAAAAAACTAATGTCCCCACTTGTCCTCCTTTACAAATACTTAGCATGGAATTCATTGGGACTTAGCTCCTTTGTTAGGGTAATGAGTCATTTCTGTCCCAAAGTGTGGTGTAAAGACATCGTGTAAAGTTGAACATGCTGAGTATAGGCATTCTTTGGGGACAATGCTCCTAGAACAGTGTAAGGGAAAAGGCTTCTGTAAAGTTAATGGTGCTCGCATTCAGGTCAATTATTAGCAACTTTGCACTTGCCTTCTGCCTAGCCAGAAAGTTTGTGGCTTTGAAGTGAAATTTAATTGGTCTGAGTGCTTAGAGGGCATACATCCTTATTTCAAAACCTTGATGTAGGATAGACCCATTTAAGTCCAAAAGGCAGCCATTACTCATGAGGAGTATAACTGTAACCCTTCCGCACTTAAAATGTAAAGTGCGTTGGCAGAGCTGTGAAAATGGACACCAGGCTGCAACATTGGTGGGAGCTACCGGGGAGGACTGTGGTACCTGGACAGGTCCGTGTAGGAAGAGCCTCTGCTATTCCTGGCTCTCCGTTTGTCTCCTTCACAACCGTACTAAAATCCAAAGTCAACCAAACAATAACCTGTTGTAACTACATAAGATGACAATGTATAGCACTTCAGACTTTTAGACTTTAAAAATAACAAGCTGAAAGCTAACCAGATCACTCACGTTGCTCAAGATTTACTCTCTGGAGCTTGTAGTCTGCCAGCATGGCAGCTTAAGCTGCTTTTTTTATAAGCAGCAACACCTAGTTACTGCCTCAAATGTCACTTTATTACAAACATGAACTCATTTTGATCAATGAGTTCTTCTATGTGTATTTTATAGGAGCTCAACTATTCCATTAGAATTCCAAAATGAGTTGTCTTACTGTAAAGTGTTGCACTGTTTTGTACAGGGGATGTAAATCTGTTTCCATGTTCCTGACATGGATGTGTGCACACAACACGTGAACACAACATCCTTAGGGATGGGTTACTGTCATTCATCTGCTGTTTCATAAGATGCAACCTTTCTTTAGAGTCTTGCTTATTGCCTGTGTGTTTTCTTAGGTCAGGGAGTTGTCTGGGAAATTTCCTTACACTTTAAAATGTTCCATCAGACCTAGCTGGTTTGAGCTGTTTCTTTGGTTCAAGGAAACATTTTGGGGTGGTAAACCCTAGAACAGTTTTCTCATCTGTGGGTCACAACAAGCTTCCTTTTATCTGAGAGCAACTAGACATATTCCTTTAGAGCCTATCAGCTCTTCCTTGGGCATTGACCACAAGTGGTTACTTGAGCGGCATTAGGCACGGTGCTTCATCCCCATCTCTGCCTTTTCAGCTTCAGCCCCTGCTGGCCCAGGGAGCTTGGGATTTGAACTCTGATACCCCAGCACACTTGCTAGACGGCTGAGTGAGCCTGGCAGAAAGCCTTGTGTCTTTATCTCAGGAAGGATTTGGGCAGCACCTTCTCACAGCATGTTCCTTTAAAGCTGTGCATGGATAAACCCAATACAGAGCACCAGTGTCCATCACTAGGGAAGAGTCCAAGAATTACATTACACTTGGCACGTAACATTTGAGACCCAGTTGGAGGTTTGGGATAAAAATAGGCCCAAACTTCACTGTTTCTTGAGCAGGATGTCAAAGGGTACCACTTGAAACAGTACAGCAGAGATTAGTCTTTCAGGCCATGAGGAGGCTAAAGTTATAGTGGGATATAGAAACTACTGGCATTCCCCCATATACACCCTTTTCTTTGGACCCATATTATCCAGTTGGATCCCTTTACACAGCTTGTGTGGTGGGGTACCCAACAGCCACCAGTCTTCCTAGACTTGCTTAATCCTGGAAGTGAAGGCTGGACCAAAAAGAGGAGCCTTCACATTATGTAGCTGCTGAAAGTGGGGAGCAATTTAAACACATCCACTATTGTCTGCCTGTGTCCAGAGAGCAGAACCATCACTAGGGGGCTTGTAGTGGGGGACAGTGAGCCCGTGGAACAGTGAACCTCACCTCTCCTAAATATTCCCTAATGATATGATTCTCTTGTAATGCTCTTGTTTTCTTGGAATCTCTTTAGTTTTTCTCAAGGAACAAATGCAGTTCCTGCCAAATATTGTATGGGGTTTTGTTTTTTTGTTTGAGATAAGACAGATTTCCTTCCAGCAAAACTTTCTATGCTACGTTTTATTGGTCACTTTATCAGCCTTGCAGATGAGTTTAACTCTGCTCGCTCTTTGTATCAGTACAGTGTTACCTAAGTCTGAACCCAGCATCTCCAATCAGACCTCTTTTTAAAACCAAGGAGATGGTCTCCAAAGGTGAACGCTGAATGAACATTGAATCATGTTATCCCATCTGTTCGACAGGGGTCTCTGTCTACTTTGGCACAAAGAGAAGCCTTTCTTACTGTAAGTCTTCAGCTGGCAGCCATGTAAACTGTTGTTAGTTTGTCATCCCTTTTGGCGCGCTCCTCCTGCTTTTGTTCCTAGCATCTTTACTACAGTCTCATTCTTTCTCTATCCTAGGAACTTGACTGTAGTGTCTGAGCACCTCAGAACCTTTTTTATCCTCCCACTCCTGTGAAATATGGCAGTCCCATTGTACAGATGGGGAACTGAGGCACAGAGAGGCTAAGTGGCTTTTCCTGTGTGAAAGTGGGTGTCTGGCAAAGCAGGGACTTTTGCCTGGGTCTTCCGAGTCTAGTGCCCAAACCACTGGACCAACCTTCCTTGGTTGGCTCTTCCTAATAAAATGATCCCTTCATTCAGCTTTTCTTGGGGGAAGAAGTGGGAAACATGGAGCAGCTTTGTGCTAGGGTGGTACCTGAGAACTAAATGTCATACCGTACTTATTGGGCAGTCATCTGTTAGGCCCTGGTGAGCCTCTTGTCAGAACACAGATACTATGCCAGAACCTCTGTTCTCTCTCTAAACAGACATGGCTAGAGTAGAAACACTAGACTGATAGGTGGATGGGCCTAGGGGGGCTTCACTGCTGGTTTCTGCCCTGAAATACAATCAAAACTCACTATCCTCTGCTTATCCCACTTAGCTGGAATGCAGAGCCTTGGGTTCTGTTTGGACAGGATGTGCAGGTCAGGATATGTATATTGTTTCCCTTGAGGCATGGGAATAATTCCATTTAATGAAGAAAATTATGGCTTTCTCTGTGACCCTGGCTACAGGCCTTCTCAAGCAACAGTGACCATCCCTGTTCACATGTTCTGAAGTTTTACTTGGCACTTCCTCCTTGTTCGGACGCTGTGATCCCAATCAGTACAGTCCAGCTCCGACATGCAGAATGTCAACAGCCACAGAGGCAGGGAGTTCATTATCCTCACAGAGTGCAATTACTTGTTGGCTGTCAGGAGTGAGGTTTTTTGTGTCCCAAGAACTCATATCCTGAAGAGAGAACAATCAAGGCAGCTTCCCTTGGCAGTACCACCAAACCAGCTTCTAGCTCGCATTACAATTGATAGGCTTTTTAATTTATGGGAATTCAATCTGATCTCTTGCTTTAGAAACAAGATGGTGTAGATAGATGCACTTATTGTCCATATTCTTTGGGCATTTTCTTGTTTCATTTGATTGTGTGGTGATAATTGTAGGGACATGAGAAACTTTATTACACAAAGCTTCATCTGTCTTCTATCAAATATAGCCTCCCTCGCCCTGACGGCACACATTCTCAATACATGCTGAGTTCCCTGGAATGGGGTGGTGTGTAATGTCTTAAATGATTTGTTTCAGAGAGCAGGATAATGCTGAAAGCAAAGATGTTTTTAGATGTAGGATTTTCTTCTTTATACAGGTAGAAGGATCTTGCATTAAGATTCCCAGCCAGAGCCTCATAAAGAGGGAAGGGTGTAAAAATGAGGTGCAGTTTATCCTCAAGATTTATTTCAGCCAGAGGGTGTCTCAGTGGCTTTGTGTTTGAGGGAAGAAATTAGCATCGAAATATGGACGCACACATTCTCTCCATCCCCTGAAACTGAGATCTGGGCTTTCTTGTCCAGAAAACTGGAGTGGTTAATAAGCATGGATAAAACAGTCTGAAGTTTAGCCTAAACAATCAGGAATGTATTTAGTATATTCTTGATGTCCATTAGAACAGCAACATATGACTGAGCGATTATAAAATGAGCCTCCACTGCCTTCTGTGTAAGGATGATCTATGCCCCAGGACTGCTGTTTGTTGCCCAGATTAGAAATCCTTTTGTTCTGGCTCAGACCCTCTCTTGTTCAGTACAGATAGTCTCTTCCTTGCACTAAGATGCCTGTATTTGCAAAACTGTTTTCAGGATTTCCTGTCCAAGACACTCTAGTCAAACTTTCTTCCTATTTAGGCTTGTTGATCCAAGTCTCTGTCATAGCTAAAATCTATTTAACCAGATAGTTCAGAATAACTAAAGGAACAGAAAATTGAAGTCTCCAAGACTGTCATGAAAGTTGCTGTGGAAATATGATTATCCTGTTTGATTGACAGTATGAAGTTGTTGGACATGATACAATTTTGCATAAGATCCATGCCTCTTTGTTAGTAACCTACTTTGTTTTTTATCTCCAGGTTACCTGCTCATGTCTGATGACTGGTTTTCTGAGTATGTATATGAAGTGGTGGTGGATAAGAAGCATGTGCCAGAAGACATCTTAGCAGTGATGCAGCAGGAACCCATTGTCTTGCCGGCATGGGACCCCATGGGTGCATTAGCCAAGTGAACTGCACAGTACTTGCCTCCTAATGGTCAACCAGAAGTAGATGTGATAGAGAATCCCAGAGACTGGAAGCCATAGCCAAATGATAAGACCAAGCATGCAGCATTTACAATCTTTAAATGTATGCTAGGGATCTCTTTGGGAAATAGCGCTTTACTGAATGGCTGAATAAAAAAAGCTGTCGGGCTACTCTGTGTGCGCGCACAAAATTTACCCACCTCATCATGATACTGTAGAATTGCTTTCAATGGCAGTTTGGATTTTTATCTTTTTAATAATGAACATAACTCTGTCAAACTGTTTTGACCAGTGCTTGCCACAGGGGGGAGGGTTGTAGATGGCCAAATTTTAGGCTAATTAGCTGAGTGATATTAAGAAAAGTACAGCAAAATGTTTATAATTAGTCTTTCATGTTTTTATTTGTACTATAAGTGTCCAGATTCAGTATTGGCTTCATTTTGTTTCTAGAGAGCTATTCACATTTTTGGTTTTCTGCATAATAGGAGTTGGTCTTAAGGAGGTAGGTGTACAGAGATGGTTCTATTTTCTTCTAGTAATTTTTCTGGAATGGTTTCCTATTCCAGCAGCATTGAGCCTTTTACCAAATGTACTTAGTCTGACTTGCTTCCTGCTCTTCCCTACCCAAGTATGACAGACTGATTCTGGTGTGTGTTAATCTGTACTCACTGAAAAATAACACTCCTGTAGGATTAGCAAGGACAACCATAATAAATATGATCCCAGGCAAAGTTAAAGAATATGGTGCTCTAGTAAAACTGGGTTTTTAATTACTGCATTTTATTTGGACATCTTCAACTAGATGGTGCTATGAAGCTTTTGAATAAAAAAAACTTTCTGGAGTTATGGGTATAGCTGTTTTCTTTTATAAATTAGCTACATGTAACTTCATTGGATGGGAAAGATGTTAATGACCCATAAACAACTCTTGGGGAGCCAAAACACTAGCAGCTCAACAAGCCATGTTGCTTTATCTTCTCCATAGTTGACATAAAGGCTCTCCATCTGTACACAGCATGGGAGAAGACATTCACACTACAGGCACTTAAATACCAAGGTGATGAGCACAATGTAAATGCGTGGATCAAATCAAGCCCAAGCTGTTAAACTGCCTACCATGACCTCTGTGACAATGGCTTGTGCTGTTCTGCATGGAGTCCTTACTCACTCCATGCAGGGGAAGGGAGAAAGGTGGGGTTGGACAAAGTGAAGAGAATATTGACAGAAAAGAACAGTCCTACTAACCTAAGTACAAGCAACAAATGGGATTCTTGGGGTTCCAAATTCAGCTTCTGTTACTGACATACTTCCCTCAAAATATTTTTTCACCTCAAGTAAGGCTCATTAAAAATTCATGGTGTAAAGACAAGCAAAAGACTTAGCTGTAAACAGAATTGCTTGCACCTTTCCTTCTGATAGTATTAGTCACAACAGAAATTTGAAGCTAGTATATAAGCATTCCAGTGCATGTGTTCCCAGATTTCAAACACCCAATCCTTGGATTTCCTCTGGGATTACCTCTGGAAAAATGGATTGTCCTTGATTTCTACAAAAATCTGTGGAAGGCTGCATTACACAGCAGACAGGAGGTGGTCTCTGTTTTGCTTCATGTTTATAAAGCACATTCATATGTGCTTGTCCAAACCCCACCCATACAAAAAAGCACTAATGTACACACACAAACTACCTTAACTGCGGCAAGTAAGCAATTTTCTTGGTTGAATGTGGTTCTGAAGTATGCTAAGGCTCATGGGCTTTTTCTTAAAGTTCAATATCCTAGTCACTTAAAGTTTTTTGCTTTTGATGTTGCATGTTTACCACTCGATTATAGCCATCAAAAGGAGTTAACTTCTTTTGAGATACAGTGAAGAGCATTTTTTGCCTATGCCAGCTCTGTTTGAGTTTGACAAGCTTAAACTGTGTTCAAGCCCATTTTTGTTTAATTTGGAATATTTTAAACTATTGTCCGGTGTGAGCTTATCTCTGCTGTCCTTGCCCGGATGTTTCCTAGTACAGTTTATACAATAGCTTGGGTTCTCCCCCCCCCCCCCCCTTTCAAAAAGCACAGAACATTCTGATGGTTCAAACAGGCCATGTAAAATGAAGCCAGTCTGGCAGAAGCAGTATTCTATCTACACTCACTGCTGCTCTAAAATCTTTGCAGGGGGATAGGGGAGAGAAATATATTCCAGTTCTTCCCTCTACTTTGATCACTCCAAGCGTTGTTAAATCAACAGCTTTCAGTAGGCTATACCAATGTGTGTAAGGGTATGTCTGCTTCAAGATGGAAGTGTAATTTCTAGCTCAGGGAGATGCCCATGTTAGGTCTGATCCAGCTAGTGCACTAAAAAGGAGGGTAGCTGTGGGGGGAGGGGCTTGCCTCCTGGAGTATGAACCCCTCCAAACCACTGGGTGTCTACTCAGCACAGATACCCAGTCACAGCAGTGTTACACCAGCGCTTAATTTGTAATGAAAGAGGTGCTGTGGCTCAGGCAATAGTTTTACATTCATAGCTGATGCAGCAAGCCCAGAGGTGCCGGGGCTACAAACTGCCAAACAAATTAAGCACTGGTTACACTCGTTCTTAGCTTTCAAGCTTGATCGCAGCTAGCATGGGAATGTCTCCTGCAGCTGACAATTACCACTCTAGTGTGAAGTGTAGCCATACCTTTACTGTACTTTGAGGCCAACAGGGAGACTACTAGGATGCTGTGTGTCGAGTTACTTGAATTGTCACAGGAATTTTCAATAGTTGGATTCCCGTTTTCTGCCACTGACAGCAACCAGGAGTTGCATGCTCCTGTTTTTTCTCTATATGTTCTTATGCAGTGCTCTTTGTTGTACTGCTCTGTCAATGGCCATTTTTATCTAATAAAACAGATCAGCCCCCTTAGCTATTGGTGATTTGTTGACTATTAAACAACACTGACATTTTGTCTTTTTTTTTTAAATTGCAACATCTGAAATGGTGGTTAAAATTCGTATGTATAAATAGATTCCCCTCTACCAGCTCCTGGTGATAGTGTAGTAGATGTAAAATGTCCCTACTAATCTCTGGGGACAGTGGGCCCTGTATCTCTGGCAAAGTAGAGTGTTCTTTTGGGTGCCATCAAATAATAAATGATTAAGTGTGCTCTCCTGAGGCAAGAGTTTAGGGCATCGCAGCATACATGGAACTTCCACAACAACAGCAAAACTGAAGAAAATTGATTCCAACCCTCCCTCCAGTGTTTTTTATATTTGTATCTGACTTTAATGATCTATTTGCTGCTAACATAAGTAGGCAACTGTCCCTCATCTTTAAGTCTAATCCAACAGAAACCTGGTCATTTTTAGATGCAAATTATTAAAGAATTGTACAGAAAGTTCAGTGTTTTTTTTAAATTCTTAATTGGAATGTCCTGCATCACTTAAGGTGTCCCTAATTTTACAGATGGGAGAGCTGAGGCACAGAGTGATGAAATGACTGCAGTTTGGTAGTTCCTGGGTCAGAGGTTCATCATCAATTTACCAGACCATGCTGCCCCTTTGTCCTAAAGCAAAAGGTGGTGATGTGAATGGCAACCTTCAGTGTTAGAATTAAGAATGGAGCCAGCCAGAGAAAACATTGATAAGCCTCAAGATACGTTATAAAAAACAGATTCTGGTGTCATGAACAGCTTGAGAGTGCTCATGGTCCCAAAAGAACCTCAGTCTCTTCTCACATGCACAGAAATATATTTGTGGCATGGAGCGAGTTGGTGTGCCAGGTATGGGCCTAGCACTTCTTCAGTCTGGTTTGATGGGACAGTTTAAATGAGGAACATTTTGTTTTTCTCAAGTCAGTTTTTAGCGGCTGGATCAGAGAAGAGAGGATTAGGATTAAAACTCTGCATTTCAATTAATGGAATACAAATCTATGAATAAATCTGGCCTGCTCAATGTACAATTTTAGGGCAAGAGAAACTTTGTCTGTAAGGGACTGTAAATCCAGATTACAAGGAAACATTCATAACCAGTTGGTAACAGAATGTTGAGGCTGGAGGGGGAGAGAAGCCAAACACCTCAGAGTTCTCTCCTTATCTAGCTTAGTTGTATCCCTGATATACGGTTTGCACATGGAGAGAAAGATCTTTGAATTTCACATGGAATGGCTGATGGTGAGGTGCATTCCTTCTCTAACTTTTATGACTATAACCATAACACTTTTCCATGTGATAGTTCACGGAAGGTCCCTGCCTACAACATGTTACGACAATGCCCTGCTATGTGGGGAGGGCAGGACATGCCTCACACCTAAGCAGGTCCTGAATTTTTCATCCAGGGTTCTTGCAAAGCCACCTACCTATGTACATTTTCTTCTCACGCATAATGTAAATGTGATTTGCACCCATGTCCTGCTGGACTAGAACTGAGATTGAACTTCATATTCTGTTTCCCTGTGGTATCTTGTTGTAGCAATGACCGTTTAATTTTGCACTCAAGGAAGGTGTTCTAAACACCAGACTGGGGCCTGCAACTTCCTCCTAAGATCAGTTACAAATTCTGGTGTAGGCTCTACTTGGGCCCAGGGCAGGTAACTTAAGGTTATATCCCCCTCTTCTGGTGGGAAGCCTATGCTTCAGGAAAATGCTACAAGATAAAACTCATAGAGTTCCCAACTAATCATCCTGTTCAGGTTGAAATTTTCAATGTAGGGTGTCTGCCTTAGACTTTCTTTTCTTTCTTTCTTTTTTTTTTTTTAAAGGTTCCAATAAAATGGTTCAGCCATTTCTGGGAAGTTGATTCGTGAAAAAATTTGTTTTGCCCATGTTAAATATTTGTTTCTTACAACTTTTTTGCTGGAAAGCTTTAGACTCCCCCATGCTTTTGGAGTAAAGACTTGAAATATGGTAGGGAGTCTCCCTGGTCCAAGGCATGTGTTTTTTGCTTTTCCCTTGAAAATCCACCCAAACTTGGCCAAGTTATAAGCCTTTGAAAAAATCTGTTTGCACACACTCAGAAGAGACTTCTTAGAGTTTGGCAGCTAAACTCTTCTGAGATTCCATTTGTGCTTAGCATGCTCCAGTTCAGTGCTCCAGGGGCTGAATGGGACGTTCCGTGAAACTGCTAATTCCCCATTGCTGTGGCACCAGGCATCAGAACTGAAAACAAGGATATTGTTTTTCCTGTGCTTCCAATGGTCCCTTGGCAGCATCTAGGCAGTGTGGAGGAGGCAGCTGCCGGACTCAGATATAGATGGGGCAACAGCTGGACCTGGGTGGAGTGGACAGGAGTGGAGGGAATATATGGGGACAAGGAGACTAGGGGGTAGACAGCAAGACCAAGGGTTTGTCTACACAGGAACACTCAGGAAATTTAAACTGAATTAATTAAATATGTGAATTTAAAATGGATTTGTTAAACTGCCCTGAACCCTTGTGTGAACACTCATTCAGAATTGAAGTTGCCTTAATTCAGTTTAGCTTAATTTACTTCAAACCCACTCCACAGATCTTCCACATGCTTCCTGAGTGACACAAAAAAGAGTACCCAGGCAGCCCTCTGACTGACACTCTTACAGGGCACTCTTACTGCCAGAATATCAACATATGCAAAACCTGCCGCTGTTATCTCCACTGCTACGATGAGCAGTATGCTCCACAACACACCTCTCAAGATCCCCGGGTCCTACACAACGTGTGGTGTACCTTGTCCAGTGTATCAAATGCCCCAGCAGCAGCTATGTGGGTAAAATCAGACAATCATTATGCTTTCACCTGAACTCACTGCTGCAGCTGAACTCAATGGGACTCTGCTTTGAACACATCACCTGCTACAAAACGTTAAGTACTCTGAAAAATCATACCCATGTCATCTCAG